TGTATATTGGAAATTGTGGATGGATTATTGTAATTTTTTTTGGGGCGTTACATTTTCATTGACCTTTCTTTTTTTCTTTTTCCTTCTCTTTTTGTTACTGCTCTTTCTATGGATGTTAATATTAGAACTAACTGATAATATGGTTAGTCTTTGTTGCTGTACTATAGAATATAGCTAAATACATTGCAAGCTTTGTTTCTCCCTCTTATATAGGAAAGGAATTACACAAAGTTGATTTGAATTTAAAGTAAAATTCATCAAAATTAACCATGGCTGAATGAAATTTAGAGATTCATTAGAGCTTCTCTTTATCCTTGTGATTGATCAAATCAAATGGTTAAAAACTCATTCCATCATTACCTAAAAGTTCAACTTGGATAAAGTGTGCGCCAATAAATTCTTTTGATTTTGACTAATGTTTTGGGGGTTTCGTAATGTAGCAACAATCGCACAATCCACACTCAGTTGTTTGATAAATTGATAATGTGAATTACGAATTTCACAATCAAGACATAAGCAATTGAACAAGGCATTAAAATGGGTGATCACATCTGGCTTTGAGCTCAACAAATATGATTTTGGCATGGAGGTTTAGAGCAAACTGTAATTTATACGCACATAAGAGTGTTGGCGAATATTTGCAGGGGATAGTGGTAGGAGATCATCTAACATTTCTCTTTCTTGAGTTTGTTCATACATAGCAAGATGTAATAAGATGGCAATGTATGCTTGGATGTATTAGAACCCACGTTTGCATTCAATCATGGACTTAAAACTATTTGTTAGTGAATATAAATTATATATATATATTCACTATATATGTGAGATATTGTAATTAAGTTTTGTCATATTAGGATATTTTCACAGCTTTGTTGTTGCCCAATCTTACCTTGCCTATATATAGGCCACTTCATTGTATTGTAAGACACACAATATTGAATATACACATAGTATATTATTCTCTCTCTCTCTCTCTCTCTCTCTCTCTGATATTGTAACATGGTATCAGATCTAGGTTAAAAACCTAATACTTTTGCTTCACCAGTGTTAGCCTTACCTTGGTCGCCCGTCGAACCTTAACCCATTTCGCTGTCATATTTTACTTTCAGTATCGCTTCGTGGTTATCTCAACCTCTGTCTTTTGTTATCTTTGTTGAGGAGCACTCGTGCTCCAACCATCTCCGACCACGACCTTCTCATCTCTAATCACTTGCCTTTCTTTTGTTTACTTTTAGCTGAGTTACTGTTGTGAATTGAGGGGATAAGCAAAAAGAATAGACTGATGACAGAAAATAAGATTGATGAAATATGGTTTTCTACTTGGAGAATTGAACTATCCCATGGTAATTTAAAGAGTCAAAATAGAGCATAAGCACCAAAAAAAAAAATCATTGAAAAAGCCCTTGTTACCATACCTTTAGCCAGTGATAGACTTTATTCTTGTAGGGTACCTCTTTTAGTGCACCTACTGTCACGACCTGAACCTGCCTCTAGAGGTTTAGGCCATGACCGGCCAGTAATTCCAGATTAACTGACCTCAAAGATAAAACAAATAATTAATAATAGTAAATGAGGCTCTGCGGAAGTAATAATAGAACATAACTATCTCCATCGAGCAGTACATACATGCAAATTTCACAAGTATTAAAACTTTAACTCACATATCCATTTTTATATACATACATAGGTACAACACATCAAGTTAAACTTCTTACACATATTCTCCATTTGAAATAAGTCCCCAAGGATCAAAATAAAATAACATAAAATAAAAACATTGACATAGCTTGGCTCCACTTGAGTTCAAGTACGCCCCATCATGAAGGCACTCCCATAGCGGCTTCGCAAAAGGTGGACTACGGAGGTTTCTCTAGACTTGACACTCTATTTTGTCACCTACACATATATAGGGTGAAGGGAATGAGTTAAAACACAATGAGTAATATCTATATAAAGATGTTAAATAAATGATGTCTATCATAATATAAAACATATCACAGGAGTTTCGAAACAAATCATAATTAAGTGCTTGTCATATCATTGTTCATAAATCTTAACACATGTGTGGTACATCCAATAGCGCAACGTAAAGGGCCCGAAGGCATACATCCAAGGGACCATTAAGGTCAACAAAAAGACCACGTGGGTCTAAACAAAGGGACCATATAGGTCAAGCAAAGGGACAACTCAAGTCAACATCAGAGATCTTTGTACTTATAGAACAAAGGGCCTTGGTATTATTTTCCTCAAGCAAGGGCTTTATCAAGCAAAAGGCCATGGTATTGTTTTCTCCAGGCGAGAGTTTCACTAAAGATGCCACAATTACTTTCAAATGAGACAATCATTCATTTTTCTCAAAATAGCATTTCAAAATAACATTCTTACAGTAATTCAAAAATACATTTCAACATATCTTTATAAAAATACTACTCACAGTGGGTTGGCACAGGTGTTGAATAACCATCTACACAAAACACATAAAAAAGATACACATTGAAGCGCACATTCATAACAAATATTGTATCTTAATTCGATTCTCTTACGTGTTTTTCTAGCTTATTCCACGGCTAAGGATGTCTAAATAATGCTTAAGAATGCTTAAAAGGGCATGGGGATACAAATATACACTTATGAGTGTTTGCCAAGAATTACCATTGGTCGCTCGAGTGGTGTGGCCTGACTACAAAAGTACTGGATGGTGTTCAAGTTAGCTCGAGCTATAACTTGGTTAATCGAGCCAATTGCAAATGTCTACAAAAAAATAGGAGCATGCAAAGTGCGCTTGAGCCATGAGTCCATCGCTCGAGCGAACTGGACGAATTCTGGATTTTTCAAATTGCTCTTTGAAGTTCAAAAATGTGTCTTTCATGTTCAAAGCTTGCATGGCTTGGTAGAAATATGTAGAAACTCTTTATAAAACATGAATTCATGAAATTATGAAACCATATTCTCAAATCTCTTTCAATTTCTCAGAACAAGACTTAAAACTCAACGTTTTTGCCATGAATGTAATGAGTTGAGCTTCTTTCCTTTCAAAACATAATTGAATGAAATAAGGAGGGTAAAAACATGAAGAATCCTTTCAGTTAGCATGTATAAACTCCATGCATGTATGAATTTGTAGAAAATCAAGCTTAAAGATGAAGAATTATGCATGCATGTTCAAATTCAACTCAATCATACAAGAATTCAAGTGATTCTAACATCTTCATCTTAGTTTCATGCAAATGATCCTACAAGCTTCATGAACTCAGGTCTTACATGGATTATTTACAAGAATTATGGTTAAATTGTATGTCTAGAGCTTGAATTTGGATATTATCTTGCTTAATTCTTCAAATTCTTCACAATTCTCCCTCTCCCTCTCTCTTTAGAAGTTGAAGCTCTCCTCCCCTCTCAAATTTTAAGCTCAAAGGTTGTAAAATGATGAGTTCATAAGCTTATATCACATATTTATAGGCTTGATTAAGTTAGATTAATTAAGTAGGATTAAGACTAATTAATTTAGCTTACGTTTAGTTGATTGCAATCAATTGTAATTAATTTATTCTAATTATTTTGATCCGAACTAAATTTTAATTAAATTTGCCTTCCAATTAGCCTATTGAATTAGTCAATTTTGGTTTCTAAATCCATTTGGATTTTCAATTTCGAATTCTAAGTCGGTATTCTAACAGATAATCCACAAGTAAACAGATAGACACAAATTAAACATATAATCATGCAATTAAACTCACTAAAATAATATATATAAAAAATAATACATATGTCGAGATTGTGACACCTACCCTGATCCCAAACTGATAGCCTTGTTTGGCATAAATTAAAAAAGTCAAAAAGTCACTATTCTATTTAAGTCACATCACCTCTTTAACACATCACTTCAAACCCAACCTATACCCAACTCATATTTCATAAAAAGTCAAAAAGAATACTTATTTAGATCATTCCAAACAACTCCTGAAGGCATTTACATTGTAGCTTAAATGATTGAACGTCCCACTTAGAATTTGAATATGGTTGTTAATAGTCATTATTTAGATGAGCCTAACTATGGTTCATATTAAACTACTCATATATGTAAGTTTTTCAGATGGAAGATGAAATTAATTTTTCTTTCTTCTAGCAGGGTATGCTATATTGGAAACCTCGCAAAGTTGAAATGAAGGTAAGTTAAAAAATACCCACAGATATGTCCACAGAGGGGTATAAATTTAGCCCGATCTGACCCACTCGGGCCTGAGCTTGGGCCAGCCTATGTCAGACCTTATGGGCTCCTACCAAAATTCGGGTCGAGCCTGCGCACGGGCTAGAAAATTAGGCCCAGGCCCAAGGGGTATTCGGGCCTCGGGCCGGGCCAGTGGACATGGCCTCGGGCCTGAACATTTTTTTTTTAAATTTTTTTCACCAAAATTTTATTTTATTTTCACAAAAAGTGATACTGGGCCTTGGGCCAAGTTTTGAGTGGACCTTGAGCAGGCCAATGGATCAAGCCACAGGCCGGGTCAGGTTTCAAAATGATGACCCAGACCCATGCCCATGCCCAAGATCCCAGACTAGACTCGAGCCCAAGCTGAGTCAGGTCTGTTCAAGCTGGGCTCACTTCAAACCGCAAGTGGGCTCCAGATTGGCCAGAAGCCATTTTTACGCTCTCTTTTCAGCCATCAAGGATCCTCTAGAGTGTTTTTTTCTTAAAGTTTCCTAAAGTGGTGTATTGTATGATTGAGATTTAATGGTGAAAAATTGATGTGACTTATCATTAAATTCCAACCACACAATGCACCACTCTAACAAATTTTAAGAAAAAAAAACTTTAAAGGATCCTTGCTCCTTTTCAGCAGGCATTGGGTTAAAAAAAGGTTAGTAAATCAGATAAACACGTCTTAGTGGGCTAAACCCCACAAGTCAAATTTGCCTCCATTTAGGAAAGAAATTTGTAATACAGTAGACAGACAATTTGCTCACTTCATAGCCACATCAAACATTAAAGAGAGAGGCCTTGACTGTTTTTACGGATAAGCCTTCAAGTCCACTCTCTTCACTAGCCATGGAACCTTTTTTTTGTTTTTTTGTGTTCTCAGACAAGTAGCTCTTTAACAAGAGGAACTCAGCTTTACTGATCCAACCAAGGAGAGAAGGAATGGCAGAAACAATTCTCTATCGCACTGCTGGACAATTTCTAGGGGACTTGGCATCCATACCTTTGCAACAGATTGCTTCTGCTTGGAATGTGATGAAGGATCTCAAAAAGCTTCAAGCCACACTGTCAACAATCAAGTCTGTGCTTTTGGATGCAGAGGAGCAGCAAGAGAAGAACAATGAAGTTAAAGACTGGCTTGGAAAGCTTAAACATGCATTTTGTGACGTTGAAGATGTGATCGATGATTTTGCAACTGAAGCCTTGAGGAGGAAACTAAGGAAGAAAGAGACGATCTTGGTCAAAGAGGTAAGTGAATTCTTATGTCTTTCTAAAAACAAGGTTGCTTCTAATTTTAAGATGAGTCACAAAATTAAAGCAATTAGAGATGAATTAGATGAGATTGCATCAGACAAGAACAAGTTTCACTTCAAGGAGTGTATTGACAAAAGGCCCTTAGAGTATAGAAGGAGGGAGCAGACTCACTCATATGTACGTACATCCAGGATTATAGGCAGAGATGATGATAAGAAAGCAATCTTAGAAATGGTAATGGATGGGGGAGCTCAAGAGGATATATCCATTGTTTCCATTGTTGGAATGGGGGGCTTAGGTAAGACCACACTTGCTCAATCAGTGTTCATTGATGAGAAGGTTGTACTAAGTTTTGAGTTAAGAATGTGGGTATGTGTTTCCAATGTCTTCAATTTGAAACTCATCATAGAGAAATTAATCAAATCTGCCAACGGTGGTGAATGTGAAAACTTAGAGATGGATCAATTGCAACAGAAACTTCGAAAATGTTTGGATGGGAAGAGATACATACTGGTCTTAGATGATGTGTGGAGTGAAAATCGCGAGGAATGGATTGAGTTGGAAGACTTGCTGATGGGTGGTGTAAAGGGAAGCAAGATTATAGTGACTACAAGAAGTGAAAAGGTTGCATTGATAATGGGAGCCACTTCTCCATACCACTTGAAAGGTTTGTCAGAAGATGATTCTTGGTCATTGTTTAAGCAGTTGGCCTTCGGAAGAAGACAATTGGAGGAAAATCAAAGCCTAGTAACAATTGGGAAGGAAATCTTGACAAACTGTGGAGGAGTGCCTTTGGCCATAAGGACAGTCGGAAGCCTGTTGTACCTAAAAGACACAGAAACTGAGTGGTTGAATGTGAAAAACAAGCTCTGGCAAATAGCTCAAGATGAAACCCACATTTTACCAACATTGAAAGTTAGTTATGACTACTTGCCTTCCCATTTAAAGCCATGTTTTGCCTATTGTGCCCTTTTTCCCGTAAGTCACCGCATTAAGAAGGGGACACTGATTAAATTGTGGATGGCTCAAGGGTTCATTCACTCATCAGGCAAAGACAATGATTTGGAGGATATTGCTGATGAATATTTCAAGGAATTGTTGTTCAGGTCCTTCTTTCAAGACGTAGATGAAGATGAAAATGGGTATAAAAGTTTCAAAATGCATGATCTCATCCATGATCTTGCACAATTAGTGGCAGGGACAGACTGTTTTATTGTGAATACTAATGTAGAAAATATGTCTGAAAGGACATATCACGTGGCGTTTGATTCCATTTCATGTTCATCACGGGAAGTTTCAACATTCATGATCAATGCAAGGAAGATTCGCACATTAATTTTGTGTGGTCCAGAAGAGAGAGAAACTCATGATACACTAATTTCAAGTTTTATATGCCTGCGTACATTGGATTTGCAAGGTTCAGGAATTGAGAATCTTCCCAAATCTGTTGGCAAACTTAAGCATCTAAGATATCTAGATCTCTCGTGGAATATCTATATGGCTGCACTTCCCAAATCTATCTGCAAGCTGCAGAACTTGCAGACACTTAAACTCTCATACTGTCTTGATTTTAGAAAATTGCCAGTTGATATAAGAAAGTTGGTAAGCCTTAGACATCTTGAAATTGAGGGATGTAACAACCTAAGTTACATGCCATTTGGACTGGGAGAATTGACATGTCTTCAGACCTTACCAATTTTCATTGTGGGAAAGGATAGCTCCATCTCTAAAGCTATTGGCGGAATTGGTGAGTTGAATAGCTTAAACCACCTTAGAGGGGGTCTCCAAATTAAGCATCTTGAAAATGTGAGAAATGGAACATCTAGATTCAAGGAACTGAAGGGAGCAAACTTAAAGGAAAAAAGTTTAATTAAAAAACTGACAATAGAATGGACAGGAGATAAAGATGGTGTTGATTATGTTGATGAGGATGGTAGAGTGTTGGAAGACCTCCAGCCACACCCAAATCTGAAAGAGTTGAATGTAGAAGGATATGGAGGCATCACGTTTCCGAGTTGGATGATGATTAAAATGGTTTCATGGCTCCCAAACTTAGTTCGCATCACCATACAAAATTGTAGAAGATGCCAACATCTTCCATGGTTTGGTGATCTCCCTTCTCTGAAGTTTCTCAAACTCCAATCTCTAAGTGCACTTGAGTACATAGACAACAACTGCATTGGGTCTTCTTCTGTTGCTAACACTGATAGTGGTGCTGCTGTTGATACTCCGTCTTCTTCAAGGAGCAATCTTATGAGTGCTGCAACAAGAGGGTCTTTCTTTCCAGCTCTCGAAAAACTTTTACTTGATGGTTTGCCTCTTCTGAAGGAATGGCCGAGGGAAGTAGTTATGGCTAATGATCATGGGGAAATAGCACCAGCTCCACAACAATCATCTTCATTATGTTTTCCTCACCTAACTAGTTTGGAAATCGACCATTGCTCTAGCCTGGTATCAATGCCATTACTTTCATCTCTGGAAGAATTGACCATGAGACATGTAAGTGAGAAGCTCTTACAGTCTATGACAGTGCAAACAGAACTTGACAGACAAATAACAGAAGCAGCCACTTCAGGTCCATCCAATCCCCTCTGCACGCTACAGACCCTGCATATCTGGTTCTGTGAAGATCTAGTATCTTCATTAGAACTGGGCTTGAGAAGCCTCACTTCACTAAGGGATTTGCAGATTATTGACTGTCATAAGCTAGTACAATTACCAGAAGAAGGATTAAGGTGCTTAGTTTCTCTTCAGTCTCTTCAGATCAATTCTTGTAGCTGCCTGACTTCTCTGTCTCGAGGAATCCAACACCTTACTACCCTCCAGAAGTTAGAAGTACTGAAATGTGAAGCATTTGATTTGTCAAACGAGGACAATGGCTTGCTTGGTCTTGTGAATCTTCAGTCTTTGTATATTTCAATGCTTCCAAAGTTGACTTGTCTTCCTCATGGGCTTCAACACCTGACTACATTACAAGTTCTCTCTATTTCCTTCTGTGATGGTTTGGTGACTTTACCAGAGTGGATGGGGAACCTCGTATCACTTGCAAAGCTTTATATCCGCCATTGCCATAAATTGGAGTCTCTTCCTGACTCTCTGCGTAGTCTCTCAATGTTAAAACAAGTGGACATTATTCATTGTGAACTCTTATCACAAAGATGCCAAAGAGAAGGTGGTACAGAATGGCCTAAGATAGCTCACATCCCAATGGTTTGCGTTATTTGCTGAAAGATGAAGATGAAACCATAAAAATAGGGAGTGGTAGAGTCTCAACTAACTTCTGCCTACCCAGGTTTGCAGTTATCTACTGCTCTTCCAGTTCTCTTTCATGAGTAATTATGGAAAAAATTTCATAAAATCTTCTCTTCCTTTAATATTATTATTATGTTTATTTTTTGGGATAAGTTCTCAACTATTGAGCTTTCTCATTTGCAGCTAAAACCTGAGGAGCACTTCGTAGAGGAAGAAATGAAGTGTTTAAGATATGCTGCTATTTCAATTTTCCAGTGATTGGTGTTTCTACAAATTATGATTTACAAAGTATATTATGGTAATAACCTCTCTCTCTACACATTAAAAATCAGAAATCCAAAAAATTAGGGTTCTGTAATGTTTATGTTTCACTGATTTTGTTGTTTTTCAAAAATTTGAAAACCAACAAATACTCGTTTGACAGCTGTTTAAACTTTCGAAATTTACAAAATTTTAAAAGTATATATATATTTACTAGTTATGAAAACAAGCTTTTATTCCCTCCTCACTTCTGCCCCCTCTTGCCACCATCCCCCGTTGGCCACCACCTGGTAACTCATCAAACACGTTTTCTTGTTTTTGTTTTTGTATATCTTGAAAGCTTGTGTGTCAATTATGTAAACATAAAGGTTATTCCTTCTTTTTTTTTTTTTTTTTTTAAAAAAGAAAAAAAAAACGAGCCTTGGTGCGCTTATCGCCTTAAATAACATTGCCCATGAATGAGGTAGATGCCATATATATATAATAGATTCATAATATAATTTAGGAAACGCTATAAATAAGGAAACAATAACAATCAATGATTGACACAATCATAAATTATATACATAATACTAAAAATAAAATAAAAAATTATATACTCTAATTTCTATATTCGACATGACATTTGCTAAATTAAACCATGAATCAGAGTTGAATGAAAGTCAATACTTGTTTATCAAAGTTAGCCCTCTTGTATTAAGTCCTCATGTCATACATCAAAACTATTTATTAAAGTTAAATCCAATTTACAACTTATGAACAAGACAAGAGCAACCATAGTAAATTTATTTATTTATTTATTAAATTTAATTTTTTTTATGTATTTCATTTGATGCTATCCCCATAATTTGTTTTCTATCTCTTTTGCCTTTGTGGTTGAAAGTGATTACTAGTGACTGGTCTTGAGAGTAAATGATGATCAACTTTGGAGATAGCTTGTGTGCTTTCCTGTAATTAACCTATGTAATCATTGAAGTTGTGTTTTATGGAAGGATTTATGGATGAAAAAGGGGGGCGGGGGGGAATAATAAATTAAGTGAATAAATGTAAGTTTTTTTTTTCTTCACTTTTTCCTTCTTTGTCTACAAATCTCCACTTAAATTCTTGGTCCAAACACAGCTAAAGGAACTCAAAATCTTTTTATGTTCATTTTCAATGGACAAAACTAAGTTGAACTTTAATAGTTTCTTGGTAAATTAGGTGTTTACCTAGGTTCGAATTTAAACAGACTAATACCAAGTTCTTTTTTCTTGTTACATTGCTGCTATATAGCTTCATACACACACACACACACACACACACACACACACACACTTGACTCTTTACAGATGGAATTTGGAAATTTGAAGGAAGTTTTCCTGGCTAACTTGAATTTTAAGTACTATATCCCTTCTTTGTATTTTGCAGATTTAGAGAGAGAGAGGAAAAGAAAACAGATGGAATCACTCTCTGATCTCTGGTTGCCATGAAAAGGAGGGACACAATAAGCACACAGTAAAATTCTTAATTTTAAATGTTATTTTCAATTTTCTATTTCCTTGGTTTCCAATAACTTAAGAGATTTTTTTTTTTAATCTTCTTATTTTTTAAACTTTCTGTATGCATAAATTCATTATAATCATATCATTTTTTGTCTTTTGTTGCTCATTCCTCTTGTGTTTTGATATTTGTATATAAAAAACGAGATCTTGGGAATGCTTTTAATATTTGTCAAAGATCTGTGCAATTAAAATTAAACCGTGAAGCAGAGGAATTAAAGTTTTATCAAAGTTATCCCTCTTGTATTAAGTCCTTATGCCACACATCAAAACTATTTATTAAAGTTTAATTCTATTTACAACTTAAATTAGAGTCTTTTTTAAAAAAATATATATATTTTTCATTTGATGGGATCCCTAGAATTTGTTTTCTATCTCTTTTGCCTTTGTGGTTGGAAGTGATTGCTAGTGGTTGGTCTTGGGAGTACATTATCAATATTGGACATAGCTTATTGTTCTTCTTTGCTGTAATTAACCTATGTAAGCAACTCAAATTCTCTTAATTTTACTTTTAAATTTCAAGGGACAAAACTATATTGAGCAATATTAGTTTCTTTGTAAATAGGGTGTTTGCCCAGGTGAGGATTTAATCAATCACCTTGCATACAGACTAAATATTAAGGTACTGTTTGGTTTACTGAAATTGAGTGGAATCAAACATTCCATCAAAATTTTCATTCCTATGTGTGGTTGATTCAAAAAAATAATGAAAAATGTATTGTAAATAGAAGCATCATTCACTATTATAAGAGAATAATCATTTGTAAGCCTAAGGAAGGTGATGTAAGATTTATGAATTAACTGTATATTCAATTGTGTCAATTTACAAAGAGGTCATCAGTTTATATAGCCCTAAATCTATGACTGAAAAAGAAAATACTAACTAATTACTATTTACACAATCATGCCATATAACATGTCATATACACAATATATTCTCACACCCCCGCTCAAACTCAAGGTGTTCTAATAGAAAATACTGAAAGTTTGCTAAGAAGAAACTGAAACCAAGAGGTAGTGTGAGTCTTGGTAAAGAAGTCCGCAAGTTGCAAAGCCGAGAAGATGAAAGGAAGCGAGATAGAGCTAGACTGTATATATTGTCGGACAAAGTGACAATCAATCTCAATGTGTTTCGTCCATTCATGAAAGACAGTATTGTGGCCAATCTGAATAGCACTGCAGTTGTCACAATAGAGAGAGGTCAGAGAAGACTAAGGTACACCCAAATCCGAGAGAAGACAACGAAGCCAAATAAGCTCAGCAGTAGTATGAGCCATAGCACAGTACTCAGTTTCAGCAGTAGAGCGAGTAACAACAGTTTGTTTCTTGCTTTTTCAAGAGATCAAAGGATCGTCAAGAAACATATAGAAACCAGAGGTGGACTTGCGATCATTAACATCACTAGCCCAATCGGAATCAACATAGGCCACCAAGTCTAAAGAGGAAGTAGAAGACAACAGTAAGCCCTGAAAGATGGTACTCCGGAGATAGCGAAGAATGAAAACCAAAGCAACCTAATGGGTAGAACAAGGAGTAGAAACGAACTGACTAACCACATGAACAACATAAGCAAGATCAATGCGAGTGATAGTCAAATACACTAAACAACCCATAAGCTCGCGATAGAAAGTGGGATTATCTAGATGGACACTATTAGTAGAATTGAGCTTCACATTAAGCTCAATGGGGGTATCAGAAACCTTAGTAGCAGTAAGACCGGCACGGTGAATAACCTCATTAGCATACTTGACTTGAGATAGAAAATAGCCCTTTGGAGAAGAGGCAACCTCAATACCAAGAAAATACCGCAATAAACCCAGATCCTTCATTTCGAAGGTACAGAAGAGATGTTGCTTGATCTCAGAGATAGCAGAAGATTCATAACCAGTGATGATCATATCATCCACATAGAGTAAGAGAGCAGCAAAACCAGTCGAGGTATGTCTCGGAAACAAAGCAGAGTTGGAAGTAGAAGGATGAAACCTAAGCTCGGTAACAGCAGTTTGAAAGCGATCATACCAAGTACGAGGAGATTGCTTCAAACTATACAGAGCATGCCGAAGATGACAAACCTGCCTAGAGGAGTGGAGAAGGCCAGTGAGAGGATGCATGTAGACTTTCTCAGTGAGATGACCATTAAGAAAAACATTTTTAACGTCCATCTAATAGAGAGGCCAATGTCGAACAACAGTAACAGAAGTCAAGGCACGAACAGTAGTCATCTTGGCAACAGAGGCAAATATCTCCTCACAATCAATACCATACTCTTGCAAGAAACCCTTAGTAACCAAGCGAGCTTTATATCACTTGAGAGAACCATCAGAATGAGTCTTAACTTTATAGACTCATTTGCAACCATCCAGATTCTTGCCAGCAGGCAAAGGAACCAACTCCCAAGTGTTAGTTTTCTGCAAGGCAAACAACTCATCCTCCATAGTTTGAACCTAATTAGGATCCTGACAGGCCTCCTTGTATGATTGAGGTTTTGAAAAAGAATGAATGATAGCCAAAAAAGTATGATAGAAAATAAAAAAAATATGTATTAGACCAATCCAACCTGTTTGGAGGACAACGCTCATGAGTAGGATATCGGTGTGTAGTAGGATCAGAGTCATCAAAAGCAGGAGAATCAGCAGCAGGAGTAGAGACAAGTGGAGGAGGAGCCTTGCGACGAGAATAAACTAACAACGGAGGAGGAGAAAAAATAAAAAGGAGGAGAAGCAACCAGAGGTGAAGTAGGAGGAGAAGATGGAACAAGCTTAGGCGGAACAGTGGAGATGTACTCATTAAACGGGACGTTAGAAGGAAATGGATCAGGATGAACCAAATCCTCTTTGGAAATTGGGGCGGTGAGAGGAGGAAGCTGAAAGTAAGGTAGACGTTCGAGAAAGGCAACATGACGGGAAACATAAAGACGATGGGAAACAGGGTCATGACAGTGATAACCTTTCTGATTGAGACTATAACCCAAAAAGACACATAGAACAGATCGGACACTAAGTTTGATCCTATCTTTGCGGGGTAAAAAGACAAAATAAGTAGACCCAAACACACGAAGGAGGGAGTAATTAGAAAGTCGGGAAAACAGAGCCTTTTAAGGAGACCGACTAGAAAGAAGGGGGGTTAGGCATATAGTTAAGAAGAAAAGCAGTCGTAAGAACTGCCTTACCCCAAAACGGAGCCGAAACAAAAGCAGAGAGAATGAGAGACCTAGCTGTCTCAAGAAGATGACGGTATTTACGTTCAGCTTGACCGTTTTGGGCAGGTGTATCAGTACAAGAAATTTGGTGAATGGTACCCAATTTGGACAAATATTCACAGAATTCAATTTTAAAGTATCCCCTACCCAAGTCAGAACGCAACTATTTAATAGTAGACCTAAACTGTGTAGTGACCATAGACTGGAAAGTATGGTATATCTGGTAGAAGTCAGACTTATGAGTCATAAGATAAATCTAAGTGTAACGGCTGCAGTCATCAACAAAAGACACATAGTATGCAGAACCTCTTTTGGTGAGAACAGAAGAAGAGCCCCAAATATCAATATGAACTAAAGAAAATTGTGTATCAGATATAACAGTACTTTTATGAAAAGGTAAGGCTATTGAAAAAACTAGAAATCCCTTAGATGTTGATTTGTGATTATGTATCAATTTTAAGTAGTGTATAACAATCCCAATCAAACAATCAAAACAAATCGACACAACGATTTTACGTGGAAAAACCACAATTGGACACCTCTAATTGTGATAAAAAATCACGGGCAACAGCCACAAAACAATCTACTAAGAAGATATAAAGGAATTACACAGGTATACTCTCAATTACCTAGCGAATCTACGCCCGAATTGAACCAACCTCTATGTGTCTCTTCCAACCCCGTCTTCACCTCGGAATTATCTTGACGATGAGCCACTCCGGAATCCACCAAAGCTTCAGGCTCGAATTCTTTAGAATCCACCGAAGAACAACTCTCACTTTTGTGTAGAACAAATAAAAAATCCTTTGATGTATACTCTTTAAACCATGAGTTGAATACTCAATCAAAACATCAAAGAAAACTAGCAAAAATATCCCCAGATATAAACCTTAGAATCTAAAAAGAAGGTCTGGAGGACTTGTCCAAGTTTTGGGAGAAACCCAACTACTTATAGAAAACCAAAGTAATCCTAGTTCTGGAAGAAAACCAATTCCTTATAGAAATCCAAGAATCTGTGTTCGCGCGGTCCGCTCGATGGTAATTCCCGCTCGAGCGGAGGCTTCAAAATTATGTGATTCATATAGGCTTCACGCTCGAGCGGACATTTCCACGTTCGAGCGGAGAATCACCCCATCCAGTACTTTTTCAGGTGAAGCAGAGATGCTGTGAGCTTGCAATCCCCGCTCGAGCGTCACGTTCCCCGCTCAAGCAGGACGACCAAAATTGAAAAATCAGGAAAACTAGATCCTGTTACAACCTCGATTTTCATCCATGGAAATTGACAAAGGCACGATTCGGGTTGGATTCGCATCTAATAAACTTATAGCCTCACTAAAATAAAAGTGCGAAAACAAATATAACTGAAAAGAGTTTTGTCAAACAGGATTGCCAAGAATAAAAACCTAACAATCTCCTCATTTGGCAATGCCGTGACAAAACACACCTAACAAATAAAATCCTAAACACCCCAACCCATTACAGCCAACAAAAATAAACTTATTTCTCAAGGTCATGATCTGCAAAACAGCTATTAGTGCCACAATCTCCAAAACAATTATTAGTCCCACAAGAGTATATGAAAAAGCAATAGGCATGTGACACGATTATCTTGAAACATGAGATGGAAAACATGAATAGATGAAAAACTAAGACTCATGAAACACAACTCTCAAACAACAAAAGCAAGATCATAAACCACACAAGCAATGATATGACGATGTAAATGCCAGGAACATGCAAGAAGGAAAATACGCAAACAGTGCATAGCAACATGCAAAACAACTATAGCCAATCTCCCTTACCAAACAAAACAAAGTGTTCATGCTAACAAACTCTTGCAATGAAAAACCAAACTCCCTTACCAAACCAAATCAAGATGAACCAAACTCCCCCTCACTAAAAGCAACCACAAACACTGAAAACAGTGAACAAGAAGAAAACGACAAAAATAATATGGTGGAGCAAGCAAGAAATTTCAGATTTGTACCTTAAAACACACAAGATTATCCAAGAAGTACAATTACTAGTAAACACAATGTGCACAGTCTGTAGAAAATTCCTCATGAAAGAAAGTGATGCATTATGTGAAAAACATAGATCCCATGATAAAAGTGTGTGTGTGACTCTTGAAGTTCGACAAACACTAGATTCAATCCTAGTAGTGATATGAAAGCTGGACCTCTGGCAAGAGAATCTAAGCACACCTAAGGAAAATCAAACCACTAGGAATCAAGGGGTATTTGGTGAGTAAAGGCGGAGGCTCCCCCTCAATCAATTAATTTTTTTTTTCTTTCTTTCTTTTGCATATTTTTTCTTTATTTTGCATATTTTTTCTTCTACTCTTTCTTTTTCCTTTTCTTTTTCTTTTTCTTTTGCACACTCATTGGCGGCTGACACGCTCAAAAGTATGGAAACCGAACCAGAGAAGCATGGATATAATAAGGATGGCCTGGTTGGTGACTCTGAGGTAGCCTTTTCCTCATGGCTGGACTACAAAGAAAAGAGGGGAAAGCCATGGAGATGCAAAAAGATAGTAGGTGGTTAAAAGACCCAACATCACCCATGATATGCTAGTATAGGTCAATTCCTCTAGAAACGCAAAAGATCAATGACAGAAGTCCATAGAGAAAAGGCGGAAGACTCCAAAATTTGCTAATCCAAGAGTGTGTATAGAATGAGACATACTAATCAAAAAACACGCACTCCAAAATGAGCAATGACCACAGAAAGCACACACATATTAACATATAATGGATATTCTCATCAATTCCAATATGTACCAAGGACCACTCAAAAATTTCAAGCTTGCAAAATCATACTAAGAAAATCTTTTTGGGATTTTTTTTTTTTTCAAAAATAAAGCAAGACAAAAAAATGAACAAGCACATATGTAATGACAAAAAAAACACACAGAAACCCAAAAACTAAAATGACAAAACAAATTAACATAAGTCAAGTTTTCTCACTCAAACTGCTTTAGTACGAACAAAGTTGTGAGAATTACGGTTCTTGGGTGGTGTCTTGACATTGTGGTTCTCTTCCCTTTCAATGGGAACCCGTCTTGACTTGGTTTCCAACATCCTATTTTTAGGTCTAGGCAAATACACTCTCCCATGCAACTTATAACAATAAGGGCAAATATGACCATGCATACCACAATGATGACAAATAAAAACAGGGTGTACAGGGTGTACCTTCTTTTCTTTTACCTTTGCAACTCTAGGAAGTTTGAGAAGTCCATCCTTATATTGAATTTTTTGTTCTCCCTTTCCTTGAGTTCTTGTATCATGAGATGTAGATGCACTCTATTTTTGCTATTTCTTACCACTAAAGCCAATGCCACTCTTGTCAGAACAAATTTGTTGAGACCCAATGATATTGTCCAAAGTCTTTGATCCTCTGTTCCAAAGACCAATGGTAGCAATAGCACACTTGAGTTCTTCCTCTTTTTTGATCATTAGTTCTTCCAAAGCAACTCGAGACATCTCGAGAGTTTCAATTTTTTCTTCATATGTTGCATAGATTTGTTGTAGCTCGTTCCTCTCTGTCTCACAAGTCAAGAGTTTTGCACAAAGAGCTTGTCGATCATTAGAAATCTTAAGGGCATCATTCCTAGCCTTGGAAATCACTTCCTTTAGTTTGACATTCACATTTTCAGATGTTTTGAGTTTCATAGTGAGTTTGTCATTCAATTTGGATAACTTAAGAGATTCCTTGTACAACTTTTCATAAGCTTGCTCAAGCTCTTCATCATCACTTCCCGAGGATTCATCATCAGTGACATTCTCAACCGGGCTCTTTGAATACTTTGTTCGTCCTTCAGTTTTGGAAGCCGCCATGAAAGCAAGGAATTGTTTATGTCCCTCTTTGCCTTGATCTTCGTTGTCACTTTCATCTTCATCAGATTCTGATTCATCATCCCAAGTGATGGCGAGGGCTTTCTTCTTCTTCAAACGAGTGGGGCATTCTGAAGCAAAGTGGCCAAATCCTTAGCATTCATAGCATTGGACTCTTTTAGAGTTTCCTTGTATCTTTCCTTTCTCCTTCTTGGCTATAGAATTAATTTTGAGTTTATCTTTGCCTTTGGATTTACGAGTATGAGTAGATTCCAAAAGATTAGGATTCTTTTTCAAAAAATATTTTTTAAATTGTTTAACAAA